ACGACTATGGTCACGATTGTCTGGTAGTGTTTCTATTTCTCAATTTTTTTTTACTTAAAACTAGAATGATCTGAAATTTAGGAGAGTGTGTACATCTTAGTGAGGCGCACCTAATAAAAATATAAAAAAAATAATTCTCAAAAACATTTGACCAAAATACCCCCAAAACATTTTGGGGGTATTTTGGTCAATTTGTTTTCATGTAAAATATGTTTTTGATATTTTTTATAGATTCGCCTATTTTTTATGAACACACGTTCCAAATTTTAGGTCATTCCGATTTGTAGAAAAAAAATGAAAAATAAAATACTACCGGACAATCGTGATCGTACGATGAACTTTGGACGGTGATGAAGGTAGGTGAAATCACTGTTCATTTTCGCCTATAGGCATTTTGCAGTATCTTCCATATATATATATATATATGGTATAATCTAAACTTCACAACCCCTCAAATTACAAAAGTTAAAGAGAGAGAGAATTGTGAAGGGTGGATTTACTTATTTTAGTGTATTCTTTTTAAAAAGTTAAATTTTTTTTCATATCTTCATCATTAAGTAAGGGTAATTTTGTAAATATTACTACAAGACAAGGGGTATTTTTATCATCTCCATAAAGGGTAAAGTTTAAATTTTTACTAAAAGACAATGACACTACAAATAAAATTCCAAGACACTAATTTTCGAAATGCCATTGTACTTTTGTAAGAATTCCTAATTTACCATTGATTAATGGTTAAGTTACCTATTAAAATAATTTTTTAAACAAAAAATAATCATCTTTTTGATAAATACACCCATCACAACCTCATCTAACTTTAACCTTTGTATTTTGAGGGATTGTTAACTTTAAACAAACCCTATATATATATATATATATATGTGGAAAAGATGGGATTAGCCCACTAGCTCATATGAACATATAAGCCTAACGTCCCAGATTGATTCTGGGCCGATCTGACGATCACGGATGTCTGGTAGTGTTTGAATTTTAGTTTTTTTCTACAAATCCAAATCACTTGAAATTTTAGGTGTGCGTTTCAAAAATAAGTGAATCTTTGAAAAATATCAAAAACGTATTTTACATGAAATAAATTGACCAAAATACCTCGAAAAAGTTTCAGGGGGTATTTTGATCATTTTGTTTTTCGCGAATAATGTTTCTATATTGTTATTAGGTACTCCTTGATGAGAAGATCACACACCTAAAATTTCAAGTGATTTGAATCTATAGAAAAATAAAAAATAAAAAAATTTCAAGCACTACTGGACATCCGTGATCGTCCGATCGACCCAGATTCAATCTTGGTTGTTGGGCTTATATGTTCTATGAGCTCGTGGGCTAAACCCATCTTTTCCCATATATATATATATATATATATATATGAAAAAACTAATGAGACTAATGAGTGATAATGATTAATCCATAAGAATTTTGATAATCCATAAGACCATAATCCATATTTTCATACAATGCTAAAACAGTAAAACCATACAAGCATACACTGATAGTTTGATACATTGTAGACTGTACATACAAAAGTTAGATAGTAAAACTAGAAAGTAGAACTAAAAACTAAAAATAAGAAAATAAAATATACAGTCTAAGACACAATAGTCAACACTCAATGACGAGAATCTTCGCTCTTCAGTCATCATCATTGGAAGGAATAGGGTAAGCTTCATCATATACATCAGAATTGAGGCCATCATCATCAGAGTCATCTCCCTCTTCAATATAATGCTCGTCCTCCTCTTTTTTTTCTGAATTTGTCTCTTCTTCCTCTTCTTCTACCTCCCTCTTACTAGTATGTGCAAATGAGGCCCTAGGAGTCTTGGCTACTCTACACTTTTCTATCTTTTTGTGTTTCCTTGAACTCAAATATTATATAATTTCCTCTCTGGTAGTCTCAGGAACATTTTTACACAGGGCAACATCCCCTTTAATACCGGTAAGGTATTTTTTAAAACGATAAATGCCTCCATTAGTCTCCTTTCCACAATAATTACATTTAATACGATTTTTTGTCATTCGGATTCGGGTTATAGCCATAATTCCAACCCGGATCACCACTTCTAGAAGAACTTGGAGAAGATATTTCCACAGAACAAGGCTCATTTTCATTGTTTTATAGTTCTTTTAAATTCATAAGTTGTCTAATCTCATCCCGAATAGCTTCAGGAACTTTTTTACGAGAAGCAACATTCCCTTTAATATCGGCAAGATATTTCTTGAATCGGTTAATATCCCATTGGGTATCTTTTTCACAAAAATTGCACCTTATAAAATTTTTATCGTTTGGTTTTGAGTTATAATCATACTTCCAATCCGGATCACTTCTTCTAGAAGTAGCAGAAATAGACCTATTCAAATGACAAAGATCTTGTTCTTGTTTTTGTTTTACAAAACTTTTATATTGCTTAATTTCCTCTTTGATAGCTTCAGGAACATTTTTACAAGGGGCATCATCTCCCGTTAAGATGTTTCTTAAACCGGTTTATGCCCATTTTCGTATCTTTTTCACAAAAATTACATCTAATGCAATTTTTGTCATTTAGATTCGGGTTATATCCATATTTCCAACTCGGATCTTCACTTCAACTAGATCCTAAAGAAGACATCTCAAAATAAAACAAGCAATCTAAAAAATAAATTTTTGCACTTTCTTGAACTCCAAACTCCCACCTCTGAGATGTTTTCTGGTACTAAAATAATAAAGAACAACCTCTAATAGAATTATAAAACTCCAAAACTAAATCAAGCTACCTGGTTGATGTTTGGATATGTTTTTAGTAACTTTGAAAAACACTTCGATCCAATGAAAGTCACAAAATTTAGTTTTATTGAGGTTTTTTTTATCTCTTATGGGTTTAGGTTTGAAATGAACCTAAAACTCATCCTTCAAACCCTTTATATTTAAAAAAAAAATCAGTACAACGAAAAAAAATAAATTCCCCCCCTTAGGCTGGGCGCAGGCCTGCCCTAGGCGGGTTCCGTACCGCCTAGGCGCTGGGTAGTCCACTTTTTTGAACACTGCCCTTGATAGACAGAAATGGAAGAACATGATTCATGTAGTAGACCCTAAATAAGGCTTGGATGATGATGATGATGATATATTTCATTGATAAAAATTACATTCATTTCAAAGTGAAAGTTATAATGATGATGATAAAATGAAGAACAAATTGCTACTAGTGCTTTCTTAAGATGGAATAAAATCCCACAAACCCAGTCCTTCCTTATGTATCCCTAGCTTTACAAAACTATCCACAATGGAATCAGCTTCCAAGAAATGAAATCCATAAATCTCCTGGGCTATACCCCAATATCTAAAATTGTCTTTTTAGGCCTCCATGGAGAAGACTTCTCCAGTGTTTAAAAATAATCTAAATGAGGTCTCCACCAGAAGGCTCTACTTTCTATTGAGTCTTTCTTATTGATTACTGGCCTAGAGTACCCCATACTGATGCAAGGGAAAAGATCATCATCTGTTGGGGTGATCACTCTGTCGAATGAAAGGCTGAAGGATGGAAGGTAAATGTAGAAAGAGTGGGACCAATTATTTTAATCATCTCATGTTCTTGGGAGTGCCATTCTCTTTTGATTTCTATCCATTACATTGTACAATGATAATCCCAATGGAGTATAGTTTCCCGTCTTCCATTGAATCAATTTTCTCTACATCCAGTCAAGTCTAATACTGCAAGGGCAGTAGAACATTTTATTGAGGGAAATATGTTGCGAGACTGTTACCGTTGCTACAAATAAGGTAACAAATATCCTAGGCCATCAGATGTGAAATCTGATATTGGGGTCTGTCATTGACTGTGCTCAAATTCTAAGAATAAAAAATTCTTGGGTTTTGTGCAGATCCAGCCTGTCAGATTTCACATCTGATAGCTTAGAATTTTTTTATCATTTTTGTAGGCATCAGTTTCATTGTAGTAATTCCATATCTTGAACGACAATTCTAAACTAATAGTATCATGGTTTACGTTAGTGCTTCCATCAATATGAAGCCCAACGGACTGCAAACCGTTTGGAGGCCATTCCACCTTGGGCCCAAGTTTGGGCTGGATATCAACGTCATTGTGGTTCCTTCAAATCCTCAAGTCTTGATCTTTCCATCCCCCCTTTTTTTTTGGGGATCATTTTCCATCCCTTGTTTTTAGCAAATTGCTCTTGAAAGATATGTGTCTCATCAAACCTTTCAGAAAAAAGAGATGTCCCCCATAAAAGATCTGCATTTCCTCTTCTTATTAGGATTCATGAGGAAAAATAGTGTCAGTTCAAACATATGAAGAAACATCGAGTAGGCTAGGGCAAGTCATACTGACAATTATACCTTGCAAATTTAACTTTTCTGAGTTGTATGTGTATTGGCATTTGATGTTCTTTGAAATTAGCCCTTATAGTTATCTTATACAAATCTGATCTCTTTCTTCTGAATATAAAAATTAACTTGCCCCATGCATGCATTTTGGGTTTGTATTCGCTTCTGGGTGTGTGCATGGGTGCTCAAACAGAAACACTGCATATGGTTTTATTTGCAAGAGGTTTGTGTGTGTCTGTGCACACTTAATAGAGACGTTAAATATTCCTTGGTATTGTAGGGCTGTTTTATTGTTGTTTCTTGTAAATGTTTTCCCCCCTTCAATAGACTATCGATAAATGTAGTTAGTTGTTTGGTTAATTTATAAAGAAGTGAGATCTTTTGGTTTGAAATATTTCTCAACAACTCTTTAACGCACTATGAAGTATAGTTTGGAATTAATTTTTGTATTTAGTTAACTAAATATATGTAATTATCAAAAAAGCTAATTAGGTATAAGCCATCATAATCAGAGCCTTGATCCAACTATTTGGGGGCGGCTACACGAATCTTGGTCCGCCATTGTGCTCTATCAAGGGTCATACCCTCAATGAGTCCGTAAGTCCCTATTTCTTTTCTCACTACTTCCAACCATGTCCTTTGGGGCCAACCCCTTACCGTTTTGTGAGCCTTCTACTTGAACCAAATCACACCGTCCTAATTATATATACAGTACAAGATAAAAATGATGTGTTATTAATTTCATTTTCTGTGAGTATGATATTCCTATAAGATAAAAATGAAGTATGTGTTATTAATTTCATTTCATGTGAGTATTATATTTGCTAATTTGGAATTTATTTCAACTTCCAGCCATTTAGCTCAAGTGAACTTGAGGAATGAGTCGTCTTTCTGAATCATCAGATAATACCTCCTTCAAGACTCTTGGTAATTTTGTATTATACGATGAGTTTAAGAAAAAGGGGAAAAAATTCAAGCGGCACCTTCAGAATTTGTTAACCATTCGAAAAATATTGGATTAGGTTGTGGGGACTAAGCAGAAAATGTGCTCATTCACAAGGTTTTAGTTATCCCTAGTTTCAAGCCAAAACCACCACAAATGCGAAAGGGGACTACCGTTTTGGACTTCTTTGTTAAAATATTCAAGTCATATCATGTATAAAAAGAAAAAATTGTCTCCCCAGGATTTCACTATTGTTTTTGACCTTTGGATTTTGAACCTTCATAGCTCTTTATCTTTTTCCCTTCATTTATGCAAAATTTTGCTCCCAAAGGCATGTTTTTGGATAATGGGCAAAGAAGGGCCATCTAGTCACTTACCACAACCACGGTGGGGCGGGGGGGGGGGGGCGCAGAGAGAGAGAGTTGCTTGCACCAAAAGTGTAATACTACTCAGTTAACCTTTTAAGGTTGCTGAGAATGATCATCACTCACCTTAGGAAATTGGATGGTCAATTTGACAAGTATCATTGTAGTGTTAATTGTCCGAAGCTGTCTGCATTCCATTGCTAGATAAAGATAACGAGAAGAGTACTGATGTAGTTTTCATTATCTGAATTCTGAGTTCTTCTGCCATGCAGTTCACTGGTTCTAAATTTTAGTTTTACAAATGAAGTTAAAAGAGGAGCAAATTTTTCGCCCCTTCACAAAGCATAAGATGTGCTAGGCAATTTTCTCACTCTTGGGTGATGATTGGCAGCTGTGATGAGAGGATCCAGAAGATTCAGACCATCAAAATGCTTGAAGGCATCTTCATATGTGCGGCCCCTCACTGCCTCAAATCCTTTTTAAAGAAACATGAGTTTGAAACTCACATCACTGAGACACACACCGACCTCCTCCACACTAACCAAGATCGCGAAGAAAACCCTAGCGAAAACGACTCTTTTGCCCCCACCCGACCTCCCTCGGCTGATACCTCCTCAAAGCCGCCACCGACTCCATCAGAGAAAGAGTCATTCTCTGGGGGCAAAAGGGTCATTACTCCTCCCCATAATACCCTGCTGCCTAATGACCGTGAAGACAAAAATTATCACCGATACCCCTCAAAGGACCCCCCTCCCCTTAAGCCCCAGCCCCCTCAAAAGTCCCCATTCTCTTACCCTCGGAACGAGCCTGACCGGGCCTATAACAGGGCCCAATTTGACAGGCCCCCAATTTTTCGCCGAGATTCGGACCAGTTTCCGGTCTCTGTCCAACCAGAACCCTCATTTACCGATTTGCCCCCAGCACAAAGCTATCCCCCACCCTTGAATGTGAGCCAAGGCCCACCGTTGAACTACCCCTATCCATATCCACCCATTTTACCTGATGGGCCCCACCAACCCTATTTTAACCCTAATTTTGATGCTTCTCGACATGAATTTACATCAGAGGGGGGCTCAGAACAGGGCTCGTTGCTAGGGTTTCCGCCAGGTCAAGGCCCAATGGGCTTCCAAGAGGGGTATTCTCGTCCTTGGAATATGGGGTTCCCAGGAATGCCCTTTGAGGGAGGCATTACCATGGGGCAACAAGGGGTGCTTAATGATGGGTATTTTAGCCCAGTGGATTCTCAGGCAAGAGGAGTGTTGCAACCTCCACCTCCATTGCCGCCTCATGGTCCAGTAAAGAGGGGGAAGTTTTCAGGGAATGAAGGTGGTGGCGGTCGAGAGGGGCAGGGTTATGGATGGCAGGGTGAAAAGCGGGGGCATAGCAGGGGTCAAGACTAGAGATAGAGAGGGTGAAGTTTTCAGGGAATGACCGGTAAAGAGGGGGAAGTTTTCAGGGAATGAAGGTTGTGGCGGTCAAGAGGGGCAGGGTTATGGATGCAGGCTGAAAAGCGGGGGCATAGCAGGGGTCAAGTCTAGGGATAGAGAGAGATTCTGTCTGTCACCATTTCTTGAGCAGATCAAAATTTATCTGCTGACCTTTTCTGTGAATATAAAACTATTTATTTGCAGATATATTTGTATGACTCTCTCTCTCTCCTGCCCCCGCCCCCCCCCCCTTGTAGTTGGAAAACAAAAGGTTTATACTCTCTCTACCTCTCGCTCTCTGTCTCTCTGTGTAGTAGGAATACGATTTTACAGTGTTGAATTTTATTTCCAGTGATTCTTCAAAACAGATTTTGGAAAGTGTCTTTTTGTTTTTTTGTTTGTCAAAATACCCAGGGATGTGAAATATAGTATCACAGACACAGCGGTATAAAATTTGGAGATAGCCTAATTGGGTACTTACCTACTTCTACGTTCGAGTTTTTTTGGTGAAAAACATGGTTTTAGCACAATTAAAAACATCCAAAATTAGTGCTTCTATTTCTGCTTTAGGTCCATGAATTTGGAGCACCAAAGTAGTGTAAAAAAGGCATAGTCGATAAAAAGGATACAAGATCGACTTATTTAAAAGCTAAAAATGGAAATACCAGAGGAAAAAGGAAAGAGAACTTTATTAAATATCTGTTGAATTATCTCTTGTTAAATATATGTGGATGTATTCCCTAAACATTATGCTTGGCTTTCTACTGTGATCTGCTGTGGTGGAGCATGGCTGGTGTCTACACTATTGAACCAGCATATTATACTTTTTGGCTTATGCTACAGTTTAGTTTCCTGTTTAATTTTGTAAAAATATTAATATTTTGTTGTCCATTAAACACGTGTTAAACCGATTCATTAGACCTGGGCATTCTATTGTTTAGTATGCAAATAGGTCTCCATCTATGGAACCGGTCAGAAGAGAATAATCAAATATGGGCTCATAGATGATCATTTTTTATTTTTTCATTTTAGATAGATGATCTTTTTATAATTTTGAGAAATTCTGTTCAATATGGTTGTTTGAGATATTTTCAAGCTTTTAACTCGCCTTGTGGCATTCTCATATTGCATTCAAGAATAAAGAAGGATTGTATGTTGTAGGACTATTTTTCTTTGGTATTAGGGGATTACAATCATTTTGAATTGTTAGATATCAAATACTAAACCTTAGTATGTGTGGCGAAGATTGAGAAATTTCATTTTAAGGATGTGTTGCAAAGATTGAGAATCTTTCATTCTAAACTTCGAACTAGGTTAATAGCAAATCTTTAACCACGCAATTTTAAATCAAGCAATTGTGACTCCTTGTATTAAAGATAAACAAACTTATTATTTATTTTTCCATAAAAGAATAGTATAATCTAGAAGAATAAAACTTCAAAATTAGAGGAAAGGAAGATGAAACAACTACCTTTTCTTTTTCTTATTTATAAGCCAATTGTGGGACACAATAAGACTTTTTATCTTTGGCACAAAAAGTTACAATTACCCGTAGCTATGTGTAATCCAGTAACCAAGGATGCTCCATTGATTGTCCTTGAGTAGGGGCGGCAGCGGGTTGGGTCGGGACCCGGACTTAAAAACTGATATGGGACATGGACCTGACTGGAAATCACCAGGCCCATATTCGGACCCGAAAATATAGTGTGGGACCTGAACTCATATGCATTTAACTAACTTTAAATATATTTCATATAGTGGGACCCAAAAAAAATTATCGGACCCGAATAGTGTTCGGGTCCAAGATTTGGACCAGGACCCGACCTAGCAGTTCCAATTTTTGGACCCATGCCCGGATCCCGGTCAGGTCTACCCCTTGGATCCTGGATCCATTGCCACCCCTATCCTCGAAGTCTGAAAAAAATTTCGTCCTAAAGGAGCTCGCTAAAGAGCTCCCAGGGCTTCCTCCTTCTCTCGCTCTCTCTCCCTAACTTTATTTCCATTGTTGGCCTTTTGGCTTTATAGTTCCGCAGTTTCTTTCGTGGTTGTTTAGTTGAATCATTAGTCGATGGATGCATTTCTCTTGCATCAGGCATTATATATTCATTAGTACTCGTTCAGCCTTCAAAGCTCCATATTTCAGTGACCTCGTTTACTCTCAATTTGGGTTTTGCCTGAGGGAGTAAATAGACAGTATGCTCCCTTGGGAGTATGAAATCTTTTGGCCATAATAAGTGCGTATAATATGCTCCCGAGGGAGCACAATGTACAATTCAAGAAATGTGTTCCTTAGTAATGGTTGGCATATGCTAGGAGATTTAAATTCAAGGGAGAAAGAAACCCCAAAAATCCAACATTACAGTAAGAACGTTAGGGAGAGATATGGTATTAAGAAAAGCTGTACTTTGGAGTTTTGGACATTATTGTTTCCATTTGAAGCCTAGAGTATGCACACAAACTCACAAAAATATGGGCTTCATAAAAGAAAATATATCAATTAGAATTATGCAACAAAAGAGAGAAACAGAAAAGGATCACCAGAAAAGAGTTTTAAGAAAATCATGTAAGATGACGGTTGCGAGGTGAAAGATGGATGTCACAATACCATAACAATATGTTTTTGAATTACTGTAATAATGTCACCACCGAACAGATGGAAGAAAAACAATCAAATAGATGAAGACAAGGAGGAAGAAAAGGAACATCTCATTCAATAAAGAAAAACCGAGTACACAAAAGCATTATAAACTTAATACTGAAAAACCCACTTTTCATACCACTTCGTTTTAAATAGAAGTTCTTACAACCAATTTACTACAATTACTACCCACTTACAACAATAATCACCTATTTACCGCAAGAACTACTAACCACCTATTAGTTTTATAACTTCCTTTTGCACAATTATAAGTATAACCTTACTAGATCACAAAAAAAAAAAATCTAATACGATTTCTAAAAAATACCTTTTAATAATTTTAATAACGTGACACATAATTAGTAAAACCGAGTGGTTTGAGTGGCCAATATGGTCAAACAAATGATCCAGTTGGCTCTTGACCCAAACCAGTTTTGAGACTATGCCAGAACAACAAAGGGCCTAATCAGCTATTTGATTGGTCTGACCATCAGGTTTGGCCCGGTCTTGATAACTCTGGTCTGAAGGGCATTTTTTTGTACACAGGAAGACATATTTGAGATCTTTCCTAGCATGTATGCTATTTTATTCAAAGGTGATGGGAGCATTCTTATCTATTGTAAAAGAATATATATAGTCAATTAAGATAAGCATCTTGGTTCAATCATACAAAAGTATATGCCATTTTATTTATTGCTTGAAAAATCTGACATTGAAAAAGATAGAAAATGTTAAGAGGTTCTACTGAAGTCTCCATGTCTCTCTCACTGAATTCTTAGTCAATTCTTGAAATAAATTGGAGATGAATATTTGGGGAAATCTCAAGAGCTTGGGTTATTCTTTGAAGTTACTTGGAGAGGAAAAGTCTCTACACAATTGGACATTTCCTCTCACTCTTTTTCATCTTTTATTCATTCTATATATTATCCTTGTTCAATTTGGCAATTGGCCTTTAATTTGTATCTTTCTATTTGTTTCAATTTCCTTGTAACCTTTAGTCTTCGATAGATACGAGTGGTTGTTTGTATCTTTCATTCCATTTGTTTTTCCTCATTTGTTAGGTGAAGTCTCTCTCTCTAGGGTGTGGTTTGTATAAGGTTGAGGCTCTAGACAATCAAAGTAAGGCACACCTTCAAATAGTATAGAAAGATATTGTTTCAAAATCAAAAAACTTTATAATGGCCTAAAAATTTATTTTCATCTTCACTTAGAAAATTTAAAGCTTCAAAAATAGTGTAGATCAAGGAGATTTATGAAGATTTGAAAATCTTGAAATTGATAGTCTGCATTACAAGATGCACTATTTCTAATACTTGAGATCCATCTTCTTTTTTTAGGTCGATGTATCTTAAAGTGGAGATGATTGGATTTAAGGGTTTTTTTGACATCAAAACAACTTCTTTTAGTAATTATTTCACTTGCGCTTTAGTTTGATTGTTTAAGGCTTTATATAAACTCTTTCCATTTTTCCATGCATAAGGTAACAGCCTCACACTCATCAGGTGCCGGAAAAAGGAAAAGAAAAAAAAGTGACCCTCAAAGTTTATTTAGAATATTAGATCATCATTTAGCATTGATTTTAGTTATTATTTTCTAAATTTGTCGTGTATTGATTTTGGAATGCTCGATTGTGTTAGTGGAATTGGTTTTGGTTTAGTGGAATTGCTTTTGGAATGATTATAGGATAATGGCAACTAAAGGGTCAAATTGTATTACAAAGTTAACAAAACCACCAAATGACATAAGAGTGATGTTTGGATAAGGTCGAGGCCCCAAACAATCAAAGTAAGGCAGACCTTCAAATAGTACCGAAATATGTCGTTTTCGTATCATAAATCTTTATGGTGACCTGGAAATTTATTTTCATATCTAATTATAAAATTTAAATATTAAAAAATAATGTAGATTCAGCAGATCTATAAACACGTGAAAAACTTGAAAATTGATGGTCTAGATAATACATTATAAGATGCAGTATTTTCAAGACTAGAAATCTATTTTTCTAATATTTATAAATTTTGTGGTTGAGATGATCGAATTGAAGGTTTCTCAACCTTGAAACATCCTCTTCTTGTAAATGTAAATACTAGTCTACAAGGACAAATAGGCCTAAAATGTCTCCCTTTGTAAATTGAAGTGTGTGTATTCAAATGAGAGTATGTGTGATGTACCCCATAGGGAGCATACTGTTGTGTTCTTAGGGAACATAGTTATTGTTTGCTCCTTAGGGATTATAGGGTATTGTGTGCTCCTCTTTTCTCATTCGCTGTCACCAGATGAACTCTAATGCTTTCATAGGGGGACATACCCATGCTCCCCAATGAGCATCGTAGTTGGGAAGAATATATCATGTTCTTTATCAATAGCATCGAGGTTGTGTCCAATTGATCATCTCGACCTCGATATATATATGATATGGGAAAAAAAGATTTTAAGTTTTGATGTATATCATAACAAATTATTTGAACCACTTATTCTTAAGATTTTCAAGTGTTTATAGATTTGCACAATCTGTATCATTAATTTTTTAGTTTTAAAATTTATAATCATAAATGAAAATAGATTTT